ACACACACACACACACACACACACACACACACACACACACACACACACACACACACACACGTTCAAACACAAATATTGAAAGGCCCCGAAAAAAAATATATATATATATTTTTAGAATTTTTTTCCATTCGTTGATTGTTTCCTTAGGACAAAAAATAAAATAAAAAAAAATGTAAAAACGCAGAATACAAAGAACTGCCAACCAAACCCCCCCTTCAAAAAAAAAAAACTTTTTTTTAAATTTCTTTTTCAATTTCTCTTCTCCATCTTTTCTGTTTTTTATTTTTTATAATTCTAAAAAATTATCTGTTTCCAAAAAAACAAAAATGGGGTTGTAGGGATTAAAAATTCCTACAACCCCATATATATATATATATATATATATACTAGGCTACCAGAGTGGCCCGGGGTCACTTGCCCGGCCGGGCCAAAAAAATAAAAATAAATAAAAATAAAAATAAATATTTTTACATTTTATTTTTTATTTTGAATTTTGATGTGACCCTCAGGCAAAAGTTGTTCAGTTTATTTTTCTGCATAACATAGTTTGTTTTTGGATTTTTTTGAATTTGTTTCGTTTTTGTTTTTTTGCTGGGACCTTCCTTGGTTCTTGCACGGGCTGGCCACCCGGGACCCGGGCGGCCCGGCTGGTAGCCTAGTATATATATATATTTTTTACCCATTACTTAATTCAGGAAAAATGTGGCAAATTCACGTCCGTGGCGCGGACAAGGTCGGTCGCGGACGCGGCCGTATATACGGCCGCCCTCCGAGCTCGACCCCGAAGGCGCGTCCATGGGTGTTTCATAGGTCGAAGGCCCCAATGGTAAGGGGGTTGTGACCCCGTGGGTATCAAAATAGAAGATTTCGACCAATTAACTGCAGCTTGAGACAAAAAACAGAAAAAATGAATCGTTTCCCTTAGAGCAAAAAAGGCGCGATCAGACAACGGGGTGAACACGACAGAGTCATCAGCAAAAGATTCCGATTTTAGCATTACTCCTGAGAGGAGCAACACTCCGGGATATCAGGATTAGTCCTTATAAGAATATGCAGGATTTCAACATACGAAATGTACAGATATGGTGCTAGAGGGCATCCTTCCCTCACTGATCGATGTAGCCGAATCGGGTCAGACAGCACCCCATTAGCACATACCTGCGATGTGACATTTAATAGGAGACTAGAGACCGCGTGTCTAAACTTGGGACCGAACCCAAAAGATGTCAACACAGTCTGCAAGAACTCTCAACCCACTCGATCGTAGGCTTTCTCTAGGTCAAGCAATATAATTGCTACACTGTCCCCACCTCTCATCACATGTTCAACTATTTATTCTACCACCATAACATTATGAAGAATCTGTCGTCCGGGGACAAAACCAGTTTGCGAGCGGTGAATGAGAGAAGAAAGCACTTTTTGAAGTCTCATGGTGACCACTTTGGCGAATATTTTATAAAGCGCAGGCATCAATGTGATTGGTATAATTCTTGATATCAGTGCTATCCCATTTCTTGAATGCAAAGGTAATAATTCCCTGCACCACCTGGGGCGAAAAGAAGGCCCCATTCCAGATCGCCTGACATATTTGTAGCAATTCTGGTAGCAAATGCAGTGAAAAATTTCGAAAGAACTGCGCAGGCAACCCATCCAATCCCGGTGTTTTATGTAGTGCCAATGATCTGAGTGCGTCTGTCACCTCCTGCATACTAATATCAGCCTCGATATCGTATCTTTGAATATCGTTCGATTTCATTTTCATTTTTGCCCACACTTCATCATGAAATTCATGGAGCTGTTGTTGTTCTGTGTGTTGGGCCTACGATGTCAGCAGACTCTCGTAGAATAAAGATATGTTAGTTACAATTGCTCCTGTGTTTGTGGCTAAAGGTGCCTGTTCATCAAAGGGATGTTGCATAGCTCAAATCAAACGTGGTTGGACGGGCGGGCGATGGCTGGCAAAGGAGGAGGCCATCATACGGTGCCCTCGAACTAGCCAGCTGATATGCTTGTTATGTGTCACTGTCCTCATTGTTGGTTGGACCTGAAAAGTCCATCGTTGTTGCAAATAGTCCATCCGGTTCATAAAAGCCCGCTCGTCAACGCCAGAGGTTGATGCGAGGTGCATCAGATCCTGCATCTCATCGTTGATTCTTTGCAGCTCATTGTGATTTGTGGCTAGTATCATTCTTTTAATCAACAGTCCCCTCTGCAGCACAACGCGCTGACCCCAAATATACTAGTCAACCAAGGAAGAGAACAAATGTTTGAAGGTATGCCATTTTGACCAAAATTCATACAAAAAC